AGAGAGAGAGAGAGAGAGAGAGAGAGAGAGAGAGAGAGAGAGAGAGATAGATAGACAGAGGAGATAATGGTTACTAATGATCAAATACACACACATAGACGTATAATATAATATAGAACTTAATACAGAATTTAATGTTAAGAAAAATAAGATTTTAATAGAAATATAATAAAATTTAATATTAAAAGAATTATTAATTGAATAATTGTGTGAAATATATTTCATATCTCAACTTTACTAATTAATTATTATCTAATCGAATAGAGAGAAATCGAGAATTATTGTGAATTTTAACGATGATCAAATGTAATAATACAGATAATTAATATTGTAGAATTTAATTTAGAATAATGTGTGTAAAATATTTCGAATATTCAATATCATAGAATACAATCAAATGTATAAGAGAGGGTGTATCATAATATACGTAAAACCTACTTCAAGATTGGACAGGAGGGTGTCACATAAAAGCAATGAAAAAAGTTTTCTAGTATTATTCATCTTTGTAATAATAATTAACGACACACTTTAATAATAAGAAGGAGAAGAAGAAAAGAAAGAGAGAGAGAGAGAGAAAATGGGATAGAATAGTAATTCCTATTGGTTGTATATTTTCAAGACGTGATTTTTAGCTCATGCTTAAGATTTCTTTGAAAACGTTTACCAATAAATCCTTCTATCACAAAGAATTGTACAAAGGAAAAGGACAAAACTTATGAGGCTTTCTCCTACGATTTTTTCTCTCTCTCTCTTATGCTTTTTCTTACTATTGGATAAACTGATACAAACGTGCGACGCGGTTGAATTTCGGAAGGTGAAACTTTCAAAGAGAACGGAAAAGGATGAGAGGAAAGGGGAGTACAAAGAGCAGATTTTTTCAGCAACAATGGGGATACCGAGGCGTCAAGGTGGGCGGATGTTGCGTCATATAAACTGCGGCATTAAAATTTTTCTATAGCCAAACTGGCTGGGTGCGACGCACGAACAAAAAAAGAAAAAAAAAAAAAAAAAAAAAAAAAAAAAAAAAAAAAAAAAAAAAAAAAGGAAACGAATAAAAAAGAAAAAGAAAAAAAGAAAAAAGAAGAAAAATAATAAAGAACGAGAAAGAGAAACGAGGGAGCATGCGAATGAGTTTTTGTCAAGACGGGAAAAAAAATGTCGCTGTTGTATTCGTAAATTACAAAAATGAACAAGAAAAAGAAATCAAATCAAATGAAAGAGTAAAAAAATCAAACAGAATTAAAAGAAATTAGAATAATTACAAAATTGTTAACGGGAGCATGGAATAAATGAATGATTAAAAAACTAACGCTTTTTTATATATTCGATATTAATATTTTAAAAATCTTTTTGATAATTGAATCTGAGGGTAAATCGTAGAATTTCTTCAAGATCCTACATCGATACAGGATACAAAATTTTGTTATTAATACTTAAATAAAAATACTATGATCATTTATTTCAAATATATATATATTAACGAAAAATATTGAAAAAAATACAAGCCCGATAAATAATTAATGAACATAATTACATATTAAAATATACCAAGTACATATATACATATATATATATTATAAAATCTCATGAAAAAATTGATCTTATTCTATTAAAAATAATATTTTAATCAAAATTGTTAATACTTCTCACGTATACGTGCGGAATTTAATATATGTGAATATGCGTACTTAGATTGATATTACAAGTGTGTATCGAGAATAGATTCGATCTGTTTCGATTGCAGGTCGGAAGCATTGTGTCCTCGAATGATTATTTCAAACACGATCAAAACCACTCCTATTCCATCTCTCTTTCTGTTTCTTTCCTTCTGTCTTGTCGTTCGCGCTCTTGCCCCCCATGGTGCCGACCTACCCCATGAGTGGATCGAACCTTCCATACCGTTCCTAATCGAATCGATGTGACCCCATTGACACGTCGTGTGGAACAAGCTCGCTCTCAACTATCCAATCTACGAGTTGTCATTCTTTAGATACAAGATCTATGAAACTAGAAACAACTTTTCTATTGATAATGTACACATGAATCTAAAGATTTCTATCCCTTTTTACTTTCGTTTTCCTTCTTTTTATTCTTCTTCTTCTTAATTTTCTCTTTTGCTTGTGCTTTTTGTTTTTCGATAGTTTGAAATTTTTGTAGGAAGACTTTATCGATCGTAGAAGAAGAGAATAGTTGACCGTTTGAAATAAATAGTAAGACTTTTAAAAAGAAACAAGACGTGCCTTTTCCGTTCACCTCGAAGAATCTCCGGAGAGTGCCGCTCCCAGTCCATAGAATTGCGTTCAATTGTCCATCGAATACTCTTATCCATCTTCTATATTCTTTTTTTAACAATTTTTGTTTCTATAGAGAACACCATAAGCACTGATCAAAACGAACTATTATATTTATCTGTGTTCGATTTTAAAAGATATCAATTTTGGTTAAGACTAGTCGTTTGATTTTTTACGAAATAAACAGGTGTAATATTAAAACGTGTATAAATATTAAGAAAAAATGAGCAACTATGTTAAGGTGTATCTAGAGGAATAATACAACTAAATGTGAAATGATTTTACATGTAAAAATTAGATTAAAGTAAGGGAGTCAAATTTGTTTCGTTCGAGGATTCGAGTTTTCGAGAGAAGATCGTGTTAGAAAAATCTATATTTAAAATATCTTCTAACACCGGATCGAAGATAATCCTGGAAGGAAGTTTTACTCGGGAAATATGATTGTATGCAATACTCAGCTGCTGGTGATACGTTATTGTCACAGTTCGACTGATAGAAATAAACTAAACTAAGAATAAATAAGACAGCCGGTTAAAAATGAATCGTAAACATAACACAGATGACAATGAAAATACAAATGTAAACGAAAAAGAAAATGTTAATCGATGATAAATAATTTGAGAGTTCGTTTAATGTACACCTAATGCATCAAATTTTTAAAAATTAACATAATACGTTAATTTAATATAAAAAAATCTGCTGCGTATATATATATATATATTATACGACAGGTTGGCATGCAAAAAGATAAAATCACGTATCATCTTAGACATTCCTATGTCTAAACAAATTTTTTTATTTCACTTTTATCTGAATCTTTTCTTATATGCTTTAACAGCCGTTAGATATTCGATCGAGCTCGATGTCACGATGAATATTCAAAGTATCGATTCTCTCGATCACACTTTCAACTAAAGTCGTTCCCTTTGTATTCGATATTTTTGCATGACGACGCAAAATACACCTATTTATCGTCTATTATATTCTAATAATAAGTAAGAATTTGCCTAACGTTTCTTATTACATTAAACCAACTTTAATATCACGAAAGAAATATATATCTTTAATTAATAAATTAAATATGATTCAAAATAATTTCAAATCACAAGTTAAAGTTATTTTCATTTTAATTAATCAAAACAAGCAGTAGATTTAAGATGTTTAACAAATGTTTCCAACGGTGTATATTATATCTAATCGATTTGAATAAAGATTAATACGTAAACTCAAAAAATGTATGTATCGTTAAATCGTTATTCGAAGAAATGCATCAAGAAATCTTAGACATCGATCGAACAACGATGTTATTTGTAAACGTCCATCGAAGTATCTGACACCGTTGCATTCAGTCGGTCTCTTTTGTAACAGTACCACCTTCTCTGATTAACCTATTCTACGTTTCACAATGTATCCTTCTTGATCGAAACCGATACAGGAAAAGGAATTACTTTGTAAAGCTTTTGAATTAATTGTGGATCAACGACGTAGTTGTTCTTCTACACAAATGTAAGAGACAAACGTAATAAAAGAAATTTAACATTAAATCTTTCTTTTTATGGAAAATAAAAAAAATATATACTAACGTGACTGATATTGTCAACCGTTTGAGATCTAATTATTTATATTAAATTATTAGTTAATATCAAAGATTTTTTAATATTTACTACATCGTATGAATTTAATATAATTATAACAATAGAAAATAGAAATTTCGTAACAATTACTATCGGAAATTCTTGACGTAATATTTTGATCTCTCTAAATATTTATTATATAATTATTTAGTATATTGTTTAAATGATTACTTATATCCTAAATATAAATCGAATTGAATCTCGATTTAATTCGATATCATTTTGATTAATGGGGTGACATCTAGTGTTCAATCTAATAATTAAAAAGATATTACCGACAGTATTAACTAGAAACTGCTATACCGACTGTAAAATTTAGATTACCGACAGTACCAAGAAGAAAACTGTTATACCGACTGTGAAATTGAGATTACCGACAATGTCAAGAAGAAAACTGCTATATCGACTGCAAAATTGAGATTACCTACAGATTTAGATATTCTTTAACCTAAACACAAAGATTTTTAAATGCAAAGTATAAATAAACCGATTTACAGTTACGTTTGATAAAAAAATATATAATTTTGTAAATGCAAATATAAAAATAATCTATTAATAAGCTAACACTTTCAATATTTACATACTATTACTAATGCTGAAATAACAAATGTAAGATTATGCACATGCGTATTATGCACATGCGTATTATGCACATGCGCATTATGCACATGCGCATTATGCACACGATCACTGCTGCCACCTAATAAAAACTGCATATTGTTTTGATATGAATGAAAAATCTTAAACGTCAACTATTTGATTATTTATAGTAATATTAGTTTAAAGATATCTATTTAACAGCTTTAGATATTTGCTGTTTATAATACTGTAAATATATTCACTACTTTGATTTTATATTTCATAATTATTTCATATAAAATGGAAAAACCATCAAAAAATCAAGCAAACCATAGGTATGTTTATGAAAAATGATTTCCTATTTTAATAATTATTTTTTAAATATTACTATATATTTGATTAATCAAATATTTGATGTTTATTTGTTGATTATAGTGTATATATACCAGAAACTTATGGATCATCATCTACTCACAAAAGTAAACAAACCAAATAATTTTATGCTACTGCAGAATAATATCACATTAAAATTTACTTTGCCCTTACAAAACAATAGTAAAAAATTCTTAATTGAAATATACAATATGTTATATTTTGTTCTAGGCTTAGAAAAAAAGAAATTAGTGAGAAAATCAATGTTGCCTTCTAGTTTATCGATGGAATCATTGAAGGAGGAAGAGGCACATAGCAAGGATATGGACTTGCAATTATTGTACAATGATTATCTCATATTGACTATGGTAGAACATCTATCAGAAAATAATTCTAAAGCATTGAAAGAGTCGATTGTTAGACAGTCTGCTGATATTGCTAAAGAATGTGCTGGAGACGAAGAAGAACTAAACAAATTAAAGATTCGAGAGAAAGATATAATGCATTTGAGTATCGTCCAAACCAAACTAGATGCACAAATCGAAGTAATGAATAATTATATCAGTAAGTATTAGATGGTAACTATAGGAATTTTTAACGATAACATCAAGAAAACAATGAAAACTGTCCATACAAATATGTGTCAAATTTGAACATGTTTCAAAGTTATGGTCCTTTCTATCTTACAGTAATTCGATTGAATCATCAATATTTTAAAAACCCTAGGTATATGTTGAATCTGTTAATAGCCTTCTTATAAGCGCACTCAAAGTTCTTCAATGCTGATAATGAGTGTTGAATACACAATTGTTTTCAAATGGCCCCAGAAATAAAAATCTAATTATGTGCTTGCTACTTTGAAACAAAGACAAGAAATATCTATAAGATACCAGGCAATGTTTAGAAATGCTAATCAAGGATTATTATTTTAAAAATTTTCAATGATAATTAGCTATCGCTATTATTCAAACAAAAAAGTAGATATAACTTTAAGACATGGTCAAATAGGACACATTTTATTACTATTATTATAATATGTTCCTTGTAAGAGATTAATTTGTATTTAATGTTTTATAGAAAGCGGTAAGATAGGTAGTATAAAAGACATTATGTCTCAACTATGTATGGCTTTGAAACCTTTGGATATTTTACGGTGTAATAACATAACTCTACCTGAGAAAACCAATGAATGGTTAGAGTTACATGAAACTTTGAAGAAATGCAAAAATACTCTTCACAATATCCGAGAATTGATTAACACTAATTTAGAAACGTATGAAGCCTTGCACAAAGGAATAAAAGATTTTACTTCAACATACAATGATATTGAAGCTTGTCAGGAAAAGTAAAATCATATATACATATATGTTTATTCTTTTATATTTTTACTATGTAATTAAATATACTTCATTTATGTATATTTGTTTTCAGGTTGGACAATGCACTCCAATACTTGCAAATAATGGTATTGAAAAATGGTTCTTTTTCTTTGCAATAGTATTAATAATATTAGCATTTAAGACATGTAATATATAGATACTCCTATTATTTTTATAAAAATATATTACATACTGCCAGTATGGAGAAAAACTAATTATAAATAATTTTTAATAAAAATTTATATTTTACCTTACACAGTCTCATTTCTTTTATAATCTAAGGTAATAAAAATGTACATTGATGACAATACGAGAACATATAAAAACTATTTTGTAATGCATATTCAATGCAATATAAGCATAAGTATACATATTTATGTTCCTATAAAAAAGAAGCACAGGAAGAAATTTAATTTTACATAAAAGAAATTTGTTTTAAAAAATTCCACCCCAGTTTTGATTTGTTCTCGTTTGTTCCCTGATTATGCTTGCTAATTAAGGTCTTATTGTATGTACTATATTTTTCCTATTGTCCTACTGTATTTTTTTTCTTTTTTATGGCCTCTTTTTCTCTGCCTCTCATTCTATGTCATTCTTCCTTATCATTTTCTTTCTCTTTTTCTTCTTTTTCGTTTCTCTTTATTTCCAAAGAGAAGGACGATATATACAGTATACCCAAACTTTCCTATTATTCTACCACAACGCTTGCCAAAGATAGGAAGTTCGTCAAAGATCATAGATAGAACAGCTACGCGGTGTAATTTCATCGTGAGCATTCGAGACAACGTGTCACGCGTTGTAAGCCTTCTCGTTCTCTCAACTTCTAGTTTCTATTCTATTCCTAAGCTAGCCTCAGCTATTTCATTATCACTCAAAGAGATCTTATCACTTTCTTGTGGCCTATGTTCCTAGTTTGTATCTGACTTCGAAAAGTTCTATCACTTTACTCCTAGATTAATAATATTAGAATCTATTTTATACGTATTAATTTAGTTGAATGATGTCTGCCGAATGAAAAATTATTTAATTTAACTTAATTATCAATATTCTTGTCCAAAAATATGTTATTAATATATAAGTTTCAAAGGGAGTTATAGACGGTTAATAAATCTAATGAACAATTTATTTTGAACTAGTTGTACGTTTCGTCCCTTACTGGAGACTTCATCAGCAACTTGATCATTTAAAGTTCACGTGTCAATACATATTATCTTTTTTACAGATTCATACACTTCAATAAAACTTAACATATTACAATACAATTTGATCCTAAACACCTTATCTTATCACACGTAATCAAATATTGAGTAAATATTTTCTATACTTTCTGCAAATGGATTTTATTGATTTTTATATTAAATTAAAGTGCACTCTTTTGTCTACGCGTAGAATACAATATCGAATTATAAATTTAGCATGCTAAGTTCAGAAAATGTCAGAGAATGCAATGCTGTAAATTGTGCAT